CAATTTTTCTCGTTGGTCACGGTCGTGTAGCAACATTGGAGAAACACAGTAACGACTGAATTTTATGTATAAAGGGGAGAAAATAAAACTTATAGAGATATGAGTTTTTTAAATTCCACACTGTTTCAATCCCTAGGAACAACAGGAATTACAGCTTGGCCTCCACTACTCAGGTAAATATCATTAGCTGAATATCCTTGGAAAATCTCTTGCAATCCTTCATCTGCACCCCCTGTTTATTAGCCTGAAGAAGCTTCCCAGTCCAGCAACATCTAAATTTCTGTACTATTTATCCTCCCAAGTCATCTGCTAATTGAGAAATATGCTATTTAATCTCTAACATTTCTAAACATGAGCTGACCCCTCTCCCATTTCATGAAACCACAGAAATAATATAATTTTATTAAACTGACAAATGTTGGACTTGGACATAACCAAAGAAACTAACATTAATTCCAAGAACCCTCTTCCTTCTAATCAAGGAAATCCTCACAAGCCCTCTCCCGCCCCACCACCTTTTCCCACAACCAGGAGCAGGTCTTATCACTTTTCTTGTAAAAAGCACAGCTGTGCTTATGAATCCTGTCTCCCTTGTCCTTTACCAACGAGTAACTACGTGGGGATGTTCAACCATGGTGAATCTCTCCTGACTTCATTTTTCACCAAACGTGTGCCCCATCTTCTAGATGCTTATCTGCATCATACGGGAAAAATAGGTGTATTACAGACTTAGTGGTGGTAGAGGAAAAGCACAGCATACGTTCAGGTGCGCCCCAGCCCGATGAAGATAGGGAGCGGCTGGGCAAAGAACCAGAGGAATGAAGAGGAGAGGTCATTCTCCCTGCCACTTGGAAGGAAGTAGGGTTGGTAGAACGGGCTCCCGGGAGGAACTGAACCTGGAAATGGGGGCTGCTCAACCATGACGAGGATACCAAGGGAGGGGCTGTGAGAGGTGATAAGGCAGAAACGCCCGAAACAGGTCTTCACCGGGACCCTATCTGAAACACTCTCCAGAGAAGGAAGCCCCCATGCACCGGCCCCGGGCCTGCCTCACCCTGCCTCCCCGCGCCCTGCCCAGGCCGAGGCCCCCGGGGCTCAGACGTCGTCGGGCCTTACCTTGGCTGCAGTCCTTGCCACGGAAGCCGGTTCGCGAGCAGTCGCACACCGCCTGGTCGTCCACTACGGAGCACACGCCTCCGTTGAGGCACACCCCGCCCTCGCCCTCCTCGCCAGCCTCGCACGGGCTCCCGCCGCCGCTGTTGGGCGGCTCGTCGTCCAGCTTCACCTCGCCGCTGTCCACCGGCAGGGCCTGCGAGGAGTTGACCCGCACGTTGCGAATCCACCCTTTGAAGGGCTCTCGCTCCCGCACGGAGGCCAGCGTGAGCTTGAGCGCCGCGGCGCGCAGTTCCGGGGGCAGCCCCCCGACGAAGAGGCCGCTGAACACCGTCATGTCCCGGCGCTTGGACTTGACCTCCACCCACTTGGCCTCCACCTGGTCGATGAAGAGCGTGGTGTTGCGGAACTGACGTCGGATACGCACGCTGTGCCACGCGCCGTCGTTGACCGGGGTGTCGGCCAGGAGCGTGGCGGGCTCGGCGCAGAAGATGGAGAAGCTGAGCTGCAGGCGGCCGCCACGCGTCAGGATGAGCTCCAGGAAGTCGCAGAAGCCCTCGTCGTCGAAGTAGAGCACTAGGCCCCGGGCGCTGCGCGTCTTGAGCTGGAAGCTCATCTCGCTCTCGCAGCAGGCGTTCCACTTGGGGAAGCGCGTCCACTGGCCCTCAGCGCCCGGGAACTCCAGCCCGCTGCCCAGCTCTGCCCAGCAGCCCAGGAGCAGCAGCGAGAGGCACACGAGAAAGCAGCCCCCGCGCTGGAGAAGCGCCGTCCCCATGCTCGGAGCTGGGGTGCGGCGGGGGGGTGCCGGGGCCGACAGGGTCAAAATGGTCCTGGACACCGTGATGCAGAAATAGGGATCCGGAAATAAGTCGGGTAAGGGGATGGGCAGGAGTGGGAGGGATGCACCCTCCTTTATCTAGCTCTTTTTTTCTTCTTCTTCTTCCAGCAACCCCTCCCTCTCTCCCTATAGTCCCCTCCCAACTGGAAAACGTAGACCCCAGTAGTACAGGGCAGCCACAGAACTTCCAGACCAAAGGGAGGATACACTTTGGAAGCAACGCTCTGGAAAAGGTGTCAACAGAACGTCAAGGGCAATCACGCATCCATTTATCGGTGGTGTCAACAGATGCTTCACTCTTCAAATACCATCATCTGCCAGGTACCATCAGTGGTACCAGGCAAAAGGGAAGCAGTTCGAGTCACACTTTCCAGGCAATTACAAGAAGCCAGCAATGAACCAGGGTCCTTGAATGCTCGGTAATGCCTCAAGTGTTTCTCCTCCAGATGTAGTGTCCCAAACCAGAAGGGAGAAAGGGTCCCCTTGCCTCTTTAAGGCACCACTTATCAACCCCAGAGGAGCTTCAAAGGCCTGCTTCTTCTGTCATATCATGGACTTCCAGTACCACTGTAGCCAAAGCAGAATTCCTTGCACACGGGGGCCTCACAGGCTGGGTTTTACTTCTCTTTGTCCCTCCCCAACAGTAGGGTTCAAACACAGACGCTGTGAAATAGCCAGAAGCTGTTAGATGTGGAAATCACAACAGCTCCTCTTCTTTCCTCTCCGCCTCTGCAAGGCCAAGCTAAGATGCCAGCATATCAATTGGTTGTGTGTTGGTGATGCATTTTGATTTTATTTTGTCTCTTTATAAGGACCCAGAAATCTGCAGAGAATGAAAATAAAAATTAAGTTCTAAAGTCTGTTAGAGTATCATATAATCATTATTCAGCCCAGAAACCAGGTATATAACTAGTGCTGTTAGGAAGTCAGAGTTAACCTTATTGAGAGCAGCTTATTTGTCCTGATCTACAAGTAAGAACTAATGTCTCCTAATAATTAATATCACACTCTTACAATCAGCCATTACACCCTTGTAGTTTATTATAACTGTTAATAGGTAACCCTCCCAGGTTTGTATAGAGATTCAGTTAATACTGTCTTTTACTATTTCTGAGAAAGTTTAATTTTTAAAATATATGAGAAGGAGAGGGGAAAAAAGGCTCTGTTAGGGATTTCTGCTTGTATTGTGCACTGGTTACATGGACAATAAAAATACAACCGATTTAAATCTCTGTTAATAGCTGATTTTACAACAGGCAGAGCATATCAAAATGTTGACTGGAAGCTGCCAGCATGGATTTGTATAGCATTCCTACCATTTTATTTTTCTCAGAGAGAGAAGGAATATTGATAGTTTCTTGGGCATCTCTCTTAAATTTCAACCAAGTATTTTCTTCCTTTTTATTAAAGGAATAATCTGTTATAGGAGAAAACTTCCCACTGGAGTCAGATGTCTATTTTTAGCAGCATTTGTGTCTCAGCTGCCATAATATTAACTCCTCTAAAGATGGGTGAAGTATTTAATATTTTGCCTAACAGTGTAGTGATCTTAACTCCTCTTCAAGTCCTTTCTGGCTGTCAGCTCTTAGAATTTGTGTGGTTAAAACAGCAGCTGGCATGTGTGTCACCTTAGCTGCTGTGGTTCCAGGATGCTCGAATTTAAAATCATATCTTTGAATTACTCACTGTACTATTAAATCACCTCTCTTTATTCAACTCTAATCTGACAGGTTCTTGTAATGGTATAGAAATCATAAATAGTGAATTGTTTTTAAGGCATTTTTTTTAACCAAAAAATTACTCTCACATTTTGACAAAAAACAATCACAAATGTGTCATCTGGTCATGTCAAGAAAACACATGTATTTCCCTCACCACTTCCCACTATCTCCTCCCACCACATACACACACACACACACACACACACACACACACACACACAAACCAATTTATTGCCTGGACACAGAAGCTCACTATCCAATTAACACTT